TGCAGGGCCCCGTTTCAGTACGAGGCTCTTCAAAATACCAGTGGACCCCCAGCTTCAGCCTATCCACGCCGCCAAGCGCACAAGGGCAGCAGATAGATTTAAAGCGTGTGTTGGATAAAAAGTATGAGGCCAACCGAATTGCTGCCACTTAATTTCTCATCTAGTGCTCATTGTTTTTTTCTGTGTATCAAGTGAAAAAATTTGAAATAACAATCGGACATGGACTCCCTCCTCATAGGGAAGGGACGCACCAAACTCTGCTCTGGGGTCTCCAAAAGCAGAGCAGCGTCACCTCGGCGGCAGCGCTCATTCCTTCTACAATCTTAAATCAAAACACTGAGGGAAAAATATATTGTCCCGGTTTCTCCTGGGTCCCTCTTTTGTGGCAGTTTGGTGGTTACGTGTTTGAGATCTCTAAAAAAAAAAAAGCAAAACTAAGACATTCAAATTGTTGTCCAAGCTTGGATGTGTCCCCAAAGTTAGTCTTCGGGGAAGGGTCTCCCGGGTCCGCTAAAAACGCAGGACGAGTGCAACTAACATCCTTCCATGAGTTCAACCTCAGTATTAAAAGCAGTGTTGGCCTACGCGTAAATAAGACACGTTCGTCTTGTGGTGGTCTCTTGCAATGACTTCTTATCGTCCAGTGTGAAAGGGTGTCAGCAGGATGAATGGCAGTTCTGACCGGTCGCTTTCCCGCGTTCTCAGCGTGACTTTGGAGATGTGAAATCTTGGCTCGGATGAAAAGTAAAAAAAGACCCCTGACTCGAACAAGTATTTGTGTCCCAGAGACGTCAGAGAGCGGAGTGGACGCAAACACAGTGGTCAGAAAGACACGGAGGGGAGACCGTGCGCAGCGTTCCCTGTGGCGCGCGGCGCGTTTCAGGACCTGCGCTCGTGCGGACAGCGCCAGTATCCTCACCTCCACGCGCCCAACGGCCCGTCACTCACCATGCTCTCAGCCAATCACAGGACGAGCGTACATCTTACGTCACGGACCCAGAGAGAAGGAGAGGGCAGTGATTGGCTGAAGCTGACGGCTCTGGCCAATGACGCCCTGATGCTATTGTAGAGCAGCCAATAAGGCACAGAGAGGCGAAGCACGGAGTAGATGATTTTATGTTTAATTTCAATTAACGAAGCAAAATAGCTCCATATAGTCTGCGCTCAATTTAGTCATGTCAATAATAAAGGGCTAATTAATGCAGTATTAAACCTAGGATTAGGCTATTAAAATGTTGACATAAACATTAATATTATTCTTTGTGTAGGTTTTCATAGATTTGAATATCTTTCTTGGCTAAGAAAATGATTAAAACAATATTTTAATTCCCCTTACTGCTGTCGATTTCACAGAAATCCACTGGCTATAATTTCCTTATTTGAACACAGTATTATAAATGTTTAGCTCGAGGAGAAAACATAAGGGAACGGCCTATGAAAGATGCATTGGCACTCATTACCTAATTGATTGCGGATCCAAACGGATGTCGTGTTTAATGAAATGCAATTGCAACGAGCTGCATAAGGCTCTGGTCTAAACAAACTAAGGAATTCAATACATGCTTGTCCCACCTGATTTGAGAGGGCAGATCTAACTCCCACCCTTGTAATATTAACTACACAAATAGCCTAAAGCTGGAGCCAAATTAAAAACTGTTATTTCCCCTCTTCCTCTTTAGACAGTTAATCATTTTAGATTATCCATGTTTACACCGTGTCAGTGGAAGGAGACAATGCTTTCTCAGCTATTGCTAATTCTAGACACATCATGAAGTAACCATGATTTGCCTTAACTCATGTTTACCTGTCTTCAAATTTCCCCTTATCAACAAAATGTGTGATGTTGCTCTAGGCAAAGTGGGTTTTGAAAAGGTTAATATATGATCTAATTTTGAAAATACAGTTTCTGTTTTCATTTCATGTTTTGGTTTTGGTTTGGATAGGAGATGCCATTAGTTTATCGAAATTTTGATTTGCTTACCCCAAGGAGGAAACCCATACCAATCAAGAGTTTATGATGGATCTGCTGAAATGGCTGGCTGGCCCTGCTCTTCCTCCACTGTTCTTTCAACGTGTACCACGAGGGGGCGTTTCACCTTTGAGGCCTACAAGCAGCACCATGGGTTTGAAATTGACAAAATAGTTCACTCGATGGACTTTGGTCTTTACAAAGTCCAACATTCCTCATATACTGCACTGCATAGCATACTATGCAATTATTATGCCCATTTTTAGATTTTGACACCATCACCACATCTATTTAAAAGCCTGCATGCAAACATATGACAGTATCACATTGAATATTTTTAGGCCTGATTGATTATAGATCATGGCTTGACTAAATACATGTAGGCCTAGTATCCAGAATAATAATTTTAGCGAAACTGTATTCACAATACAGTTACTTAATCTTTTGGTGGTATTCAATCCAGTCACATTGCAGAAATGGAATACACTGGAGAATTGATCAAATCATTTTGAGTATAGAAAGGACATATTAATACCAACAGAAAAAAAATAAAACTTTACTTTGAGAGGGGCCTGTAGGTGAGTTTGAAAGATAATGACTCAAATCAGATCAAATTATGGAAAAGAAATACACTGTTCACAAACCACTGTTGCATTTTATGATGGGTTGATATGAAATGAATGGGAAGGCATACTGTGTGTTCAGAAGACACTGTCCATGTAACGAAATATGATACAACATATATTTGAATGCAAGCATTCTTATGCAACAACAAAAATGTATCAATGTATTCTCAACATTAGAGCTAAAAGACACAGTGGAGGCACATCCAAAATGTGCACTGCTTTTGGATGCTTGCTGACAAACTATTCTTATTTATTTTCTAAGTTAGTTGAGCACCTCCCTTTTCACCCTCAATACGCTCAAGTAATTTGCTGTTGTCTATTTGCAAATTAAACATAAGCAATTAAAAATCCCAACACAATTAACCATGTATACAAATTGTTGTCGCTTTAGGGTTGGAAATTTGGAGAAAACTTCCATGGCGGTGGGACAAATCTAATCTGGGGGTCCAAGACCATTTCCATATTTCATTACCACTCGTGTTGAGATGAGAGCTGGGAGGAAGAGAATGGTGTTGGATTCTTAAAACATGTGTTGAGATAATAATTGGGAGAAATGTGGGTCTGATGTTTGAACCTTGCTCCTCTCTTCTCTCTTTCACTCTCTGCACCCAAAGCTCGGCGGCTTTTTTCGTGTCTGCATCTCGAAACGGGAGAAAGAAGCAATGAAAAATTAATAGCGCATGTTAACTCCACCGGCTCGTTTATTACACGCCCGCTGACTGTAAACATAATGAGAAAGCTCCCGTATCTATTTTTAAGTTTTTCATTGCTTCAGATAGCCAAGTCATAAATAGGCCTTCTGTTGAAAGTATAGTTTCTTGGAGTTGGTATAGAACCGCGTGTATATAGGTCATATTCTGTGTATCAGCCTATTGTCACATCCAGCGTGATTATACAGGCCACTCTCATTTAGTATGACGCTTATTCTCATATGGGGCGCTTAAGGTCAGCATGGCTAAATGGCACAGGGGGTCGCGCATTCACCCAGCTCTGCATCCACACGCCTCAACTCAACACCGTGAAAGGATAACGCTTTTTGCACAAAATTACACATTCTCTGATAAACGTTAACCTATGCAAAATGTTTAGAATGATCCATTATAGGATACGGCCTGAACAGGAAACTATATGCATTTCTGAATTTCATCATGAGCTTTAAGTCGTGTATTGGCTATTTAGTGTTGCTGCATGTGTGTACCTTTATGTTGCCTGTTTTAGAAATAAACCTTGCACCTTTCACTGGACACAGATAATGATTGGTGATTGTTATAACTTATAAGATATTCTGTCATCATGAAGTTTACATTTCGCTTTGTAAATTGAAATATTCAACATAGCCAACATGACTCATTCCACATATGTCAGTTGTCACAGTTTGTTTATCCTTTACGAGCTTATTTGTAAAATTATCGATTTACGTCTTAGTCACAATGTTCAGTCGGTGAGCTGGATGTCGCTGTTCATTGAGAGAAGTGCCCATGTGCGCACTTTACGCACGGCAGGCTGCAGAGCGGGAACAGAAGCCGGGTCTCATTACATCCACATTCATTTTGATTTGGCTGCTTAGTACGCATGGCACGTATTTTAAAGTAATGGCATTGGAGATACAGTGGGTAGAGGCTGGGCCCGAAAGTCACCGTAAAGCGAAGGAGGGCCCTAAAACTCTGATTTCCTCTGCGGTTAAAGTTATTATTCGTTGGCAAAGAATCCCACTTTCCCCGTATTTAAAGGGATTAAAGATCTGTCCTACACAAGAGAAACACAAAATAATTATATATCTAGGCCTAAAGTAGAGTGATTAGTAGTTTAAAAGCCACACATTGTTTTATTTGCCAATTTTCTGGTAACTAGTTTTTCAACACTCCCATATTATAGCAATTATATGAAATTAGATGATCCAATGTGTGCTAAATAGTCGATCACCTAAAGTCGACCTTGTTTGAATGGGCCTCAGAGAACCTGTTGTGAAAATAGGCCTGTAGGCTACACGCACGCACACATTTACTACAGACACTAATGAGTATTAGAATAGCAGTATTATTCACATGTAGGCCTTTTCGATTGGTAACGTGTTCCCCCCCATTAAATAAAATAGGCCCTATACAACAAAATAATAAATACAATAAAAAATGGCATAACTGAATAAACTAACTATATAATAAAAACAACAATAATAATAACAACAACAATAACAAAAAATAACAATGTAAAAAAACAATTTACGAAAACCTGCACCAAATACACTCAAACATAATTTTGAATTGCTGGGAAAGTTTAACGATGGTGTCTAACTGCTATTGAAATGCTTTATCCTCTTCAAAACAATGAAACCGTGCAACCGTTTCCAATATTTCCCTATATCATTTACAAATACTTGACATACACAATAAAATGGAGGTGCTTACCTGCTCTGCCGAGCCGTTGTGCGGGACTCCAAGGGCCCAACTCCATGTTGCTGTTGGTGCGAAGGGGAGGTGATGGAGAGAAAGGAGGGGGAAAAGGAAACAAAAAAGTTGTTTTTTCTTTTCGTGTCCCCCTCTCAGTCCTACAGTAGTTGTAGGCCAAGCTGTAAGTTAAAATAATTCGACCCTTCCGCTCCCATTGCACTCTGCAAGTGTTCAGTCAGCTGCAACTAAACGCTTTAGGTGGAAAAAGAGCTTCGGGGGGAAGCGTGAAATGATCACGCAGAGTAAAAGAGCTGCGCTTTCAATGTGCGCTCGTAGTGCACACCGTGCGTGCACTAATGCAATATAAGTGTACGCGCACGGACACATACATCAAGCCAAGTTAAGAGGATTCCTGGACCGGACCCCCCTCACGCGCATCTCTTGCAAGTTCCACTAAACTTTCTTCCCCACGCCCAGCGTCTGGTCGTCTTTGTCCTTGTGAAAGTCGAACAACTTGTCATGTAGTTCTGGACACTTTTGCATGAAGAACATAAAAGAAACAATTTAAAAAAGAAACAGAACACTCATGAAGAAAACATCTTAAAGCGTCACCTGTTACGTTTGGCGCGTTACGCAGGGGCTTCCCATGGTCTGGCAACCTCAAATGTCTATAATAAATCACTTCCGGAAACCCTCTTTACATGTGTTCTTGTGAAGAGTGCAAAAATAATATATAGTAATAAATAAAATAAAAATAAAAGATTGATTGCACATATTTAAAAAAAAAACAAAAATTAGATGTAGTTTTATGCGTGATCATAACAACTAAGTAAAGAATCTGCAGCTGCACGGGTACATCTTGTCTGGACAAAAGTCCTTCAGCTAAAGTAAATAAATAAACCATGACCTTCAAATTATACATAATCATCTTAAAATTATTAGTTGTAGAAGTATAGTATTACTAGTACTAATATTTGTAGTAGTAGTGGTAGTATTAAAGTAGTATTAAAAGTTGCGGTAGTAGTAGTTTTTTTATATGCAAAAATTTTACTTTTAGCATATAAACTTGTACATTAATTCTTGAGATTAATCAGACCTTTGTCCATTTTTCAATAAGTACGAAACATACACCATATTGCCCTCATGTATTTCCACTATTTCCATGTTTGTAGCTTAAAATGATAGGCCAACAGTCAAAAAATATAACAGCAATTTTGGATTTACCAGTTATCCAGTTCTGACGTTAATAATAATAAAAATCTCCTGTTTGTTTTCCCTCCCTGTGCTAATTAATGTCATTAATATGGGGGAAGAGTTGTTGGATCAGTGACCCGAGCTCTGACCGAGCGGAACCGGAAAGAATCGCATTAACCGCGACACAAGCAAACTAAAGGCCGATTAGAACAATGTAAACACATAAACAACAGTGAAGATGTTCTCCACAGGGCCGCCCGCAGCACTCAGCACGACAGTTGCACTCACAAAGGTCAGATTTGGGATCCACACTAAGTTGGTGCCATAGGTTGGTCTTTGGCTATACTTTCATACTGGTCACTGGTCAAACTATGCAGCCATTGAGAATCCAACAATAACCTATACAGTGTTTCTTTGAATTTAGAAGATGGGTCCCCTTGTAAATATATAGATAGAGTACAGAGTAAGTGGCAGGTGCAGGAGCCGGGAAACTGGTTTGATCACTACAGAACAAGGAAACATGTAGGAAAATATTAACATGCCCAACTGATGCAACAATAAAACATTTGTCTTGTGGTGAATAACATAAGTTACACAGTTGTTAGTATACCCAGCTCCTTTTATACAACCCCCTATATATTTGTGTCTTTCTCCAGAAATCCAAAATCACTGTCGGTTGTGGATAAATCTGCAGCTGCAGGAATCCGGTTTAGACAAAAGTCATTTCAGTACTACGGTCCCATGCTTCTGGCTTCAAAAGAAAGTGGCCCCCATCACAACAAACACAAGAACCAAAATTGTGACCAATGACATGCTTCTTTTAACTTCTTCTTCCCAATAAAAAAACGCTCATCAGGCTGAACCATCCCGTTGGAAGTGTGATTGGAAATCAGGGGACCTTAATTCTCTGTTGCAGACACTCCATCCATCTTCAACACATCAGTGATCTGGACTCTCCAAGATGAACCTCTTCCATTCAAAAGGACTCTACCTGTTTTTAGAAAATAATAATAGTCGTAAATACTGGCAAACGCATGAAAGTCAAAATCAGGCAGCCGCATCAGAGCACTGAGGCATCTCCGACCTGCATCCAATTTAGATAGATGTGGGAGAGCAAAAGGCAGAAGGACCCATGTGCGTTCCCCAAAACCAAATCCACTGATTAGAGTGTGGATGTATAGCCTATACAGTGATAGTGTTGGGACAGAGGTGACAGACTAACCTTTGTAAGGCAACAATCTACTTCTGTGATGGCCTTTCCTGCAGTGACACGCATGAAGAAACACCTGGAATCAGATGGTATTCAACCGCTGATTCCATATCACAATGTCATTCGCTCACTGTATTATTATAATGCCCATCGTTATATACTGACTCCATAATTACGGTCCATGATAGGGAATATGCAGAGGGAGAATTGGAGGATGTTAATGTTACATAGCCTGAATCAGGGACCCAAAAGCATAATTTAGCTGTTTTCAGAATGTAATAAATATGACTGATGGTGATAGCTAGCATTATGAATTGCATTTACATATGGATTTACATTTCCATCAACATGTAGTAATAGCGTAGGCCTGCTGGTCCATCCAAACATGCTCACATTCACACAATATGACTTATGGAGAAATGGGGAAAGCAGCATTAACTATACTAATAGACCTATAGGAGAAAGACTGAATGTTGTGTATGTAATTACAAAACACATTTTCCCATCAATAAGAGGTTTGGTTTTTGTGATCAAATATGTTTCATTTTCTTATTATTGGATGTCAAATCAAGCCAAATGGACATCAAATCATTCTGATGTCTAATCCCAACACTTGTTCATTCATGTTAAATGAGTGTGGGTTTCCATTTCATTTCTTCTTTTCAGAAGTCTGAGGCGTATCAAGCTATAAGCGGACACTTCCTCCTGCTCATCTGGGAGTATCCTGAAGTGTTTCTGGGCCATGCCCTGGGTCTCAACATTTTAAACACCAGTTTTGACTTAGCTGACAAGCCAGAAACACACGATCACATGGATTTATTTTATCATTTTCTAACACTGTGAACCAATCTGCCTGACCCTTGTGACACCCCATGTGTCAAATGTTTGAAGTTTCTGGCTGGTCAGTGTTGATAAACAAGGCTCAACTGCATGTGTATGTGTAAAAAAGAACATTCTCTTTTTGAATGTGGTTGGATTGCTGACAATCTTCCTTGCAACTCTAGAAAAACACATAAAGTGTTTTTTTTGGGACAGTGGGAGCCATCATGATCTTGGGTACTTTTTCCTTCATTGGAACAATCTTGCTTTAGATTGCAGGAGGAAATCACTGCAGTTCACGATGAAGGCCTGACAAAGGAAGTTTGTTTATAACATCACTGTTTTGGATCATCCTACTTTCTACCCTGATCTAAAGCAAATTGAGGATATTTGGGAAAATGGTAAGGGTGATTTCTGGTGATTTCTGGACACTCTGACCTCACTGGATCAAAATTGTCAAAAACTGACTATTTCGATCCATGGCAGAGAAGGCTCTGTAAAACCACCTTCTAACCCTTAAAGAGATTCCCACTAACCTCTGGAAACACTTGCATTAAGCGTCCTGAAATTGTAAAGAAAGTAAAAACTGATCAAGAGCGATGAAGTTAATCTATTTTTTCAGTTTGTGTTTTCTAAATATTGCACACAATTTTGTAACTTTCATTTTACAGCTGCTTAGAACCCCTGTGCTTCCAATTCCTCTCCAAGTAGTTTCCCGATGGATTTAGATATTATACATAGTTTAATGCTAATGTTAGGATAGTAATTTCTGCACAAATAACTTTTAGTTTTTTTTTTTATGGTCATCTAACAATACCCATTCAAGGCTACACCACAACAAGTGGCCACTAGGCCAGGAGCAGTGAGTGTACATACACATGAGCGTCTTAAAACAAGATGTGCCGATGAAACGAGCCGGTTTAGTCAGATTTCAATCACAGGGGAATTTTCTTTTATCTAAAATTCTCTTAAACAGAACAAGATCTGTTAACTGTAAATCATGTTTTGGGAAATAAAAAAATATTCTCAGAGGAAGAAAAAAAGAACAAATAAAAGATCTTAATTACTGGCATTTTTTTTCCTGAAAAAGTAGAAAGCCCTGGTCTAAAACCACAGTAGTAAACAGAACATAGTTACCATAGCTCCCATGCTGAGTATTCAGCTCCTTATCCATGTGAAAACTCATTTTCAAAACAAATCATTCTCTAGAATTATCCTTATCATTACATTTGAGCTTCTCTTATTACGCCTCTCACACTCCTTTATGACTACCAAGGTCAAGATCAAACGTATTTGTATAATACATTTACAACAAGCAAAGGTGTCCAAATAGTCAGAGAAAATACATGTCGTTTGAACACATTATACAAAATATAGAATAACGGAAGGCTCTCTACAGTTTTTCCTTTTACTGGAGCCACTGCCTCGAGCTTGTTTGATAATGTCTCCACATTTTTCCTTCACATTTTCTTATACATACATGATGTTATGTTGTTGGTGCTGTTCAGTCAATTCCAAATTTGCTCTTGGTTTTCAATGAGAGCAATTTGAGAAGAGATGTATGCAAATCACAGTTCCTATTCAAGCTGTCCGCGGGAAAAACTTCTAAACTGAAATTCATACTATTTGCTGACGATACAACGATTCTGTGTTCAGGAAAGGATTTACAGCTTCTTATGACGGAAATCTCAACAGAAATAAACAAGTTAAAACAATGGTTCGATAATAACAAACTGTCAATGAATATTAGGAAAACAAAAATGATGATTTTTGGGAAACGAATCAAAGACACTGAAGTAAAACTTAAAATCAACAATATGGAAATAGAGAGAGTTCACGAATGTAAATTTCTGGGTGTGATTTTAAGTCATAATGTAAGCTGGAAACCCCACATAACAAGCATACAATCAAAAATGGCAAAGAGTATATTGGTAATGTACAGAGCTAGACATCTGCTAAAATATAGAGCCTTACATATTATATATAGTTCTTTAATTCTCCCATATATCAGCTACTGTGCGGAGGTGTGGGGTAACACTTATAAAACTCATTTAGATCCACTTTTAAAACTTCAGAAAAAAGCCATAAGAATCGTTCATAACGTTGGTTTTAGGGACCATACAAATGAGTTGTTCTTAGCATCTCGTACAATGAAAATTGAAGACTTAATTAAATTTAAAACTCTTGTTGTATTATACAAAGCAAGTCGTGACCTTCTCCCTAGGAACACTCAGAAATTGTTCAGCAGTAGAGAAGGAACTTATAATTTAAGAGGAGAATTTGTGATGAGGAAACATTGTGTTCACACCACCCTCAAAAGTATGTGTATCTCCCAAGCAGGAATAACATTGTGGAATGACCTAAATAAAGACACAAAACAGAGAAAAACACTAGTACACTTTAAAAAACCATGTAAAGACATTATCTTTAAAAATTATGCTAGTGAAGTATCATAATTACTATTATTTTCACAGACAGGCACACGCTGGTGCTTTTTTGTTGTTGTTATGGGGTTTGCCCGTATATGAGGATTGAGGTATTGTAGAGAGGGATGGAAAAAAAGAATAAAAAATAAATAAAATTTAAAAAAATGTCACTAAAACCGAACGTTTACACATGCATAAGTTCAATGCATTGAGTTTGTAAAAAATGTGTCGATTTCAGTCAGATGAAGTGATGTTGCAATATAATTGCTATACATATTAAATACCATATGGTGTATTTATTTTTGTAAAACTGTAAATGATAAATCCTTTATTTATTTTGTACGACTGTAAATGAAAAATCCTTTGTGATTTTTGTGTTACTTGAATGAGAGATAAGGGGTAGGTTTATTATAAGTTCTTTGAACTTCTTCCTACTCCTTTTGAGCACAATAGTCTTGTTTTGTTTTCTTCTGTAAAATGTTTTAAATAAGTTTCTGCTCAAATAAATAAAATGAAAGAATGAAATTAACACTTTACTAGAGTAAGTGCTGTAACTCGAGCACTATCCTCTGATGTCTCTTACTTTTCCTGCCATCATTATCCAGTATGACTTTCACTTCCAGTCTGTTCATTGCTATTCACTCACTCTCCCTGTTGTCCCACCTCTGAGAATGTGTCTTTTTCAGGGAAGAAATGCTGGGACCCTGAACCCCTGATTACCTGGCCTGACTGGGCAAACTATAGGCTAGACATAGTGGCCCAGCCTCAACGGGATCATTCTATCGATTACTACCATATTCAAGTAATTTATTCACTGTTTTACATTGTTAATAGCAATTCTTGATGATAGGAAGTATGATAATATACATCTAAAATATTACTTTATGTGACCAAATATTAACTACTTGAAATCAACAACAACCGGGACAATGCGTTTTTCCCCGAAAAAGGTAAATTCGTAATTCCCAACGTTCAATAAGATGTATTGTTATTTGGCACATTGTTTGGTCATGTATTTTCGGTTGCTGTTAAAATCTTAAAAAAAAAACATGGATCATATCCTATTATAAGAAAGGGCCTAAATAATAATAAGTACACTTTCACAATGCTCAGTGATGGATGTGCTTCTGCCTCACGCTGTCCCGGCAGAGAAACGTCACGTCTCTCCTGGAACAGACCCGGAAGTGATTTGCCCTCGCTGGTAGCTGCAAAGATTCGTCGCTCTCCCCTTTTTAATCCTCGATTTGAGCGAGGGGGTAAGTATGTTTATACAATGATAAAAGGCAGTTCAATTTATTTTAAATGTGGTATTTCTGTTTTAGTTCATTGAGAGTTGATTAATTCATTGTTTACATCCACCGCCCGGCTGCTTATAAACACGTGGAGACTGAAGTGACTCATGCTTGCATTGGTTTTCTAAAATACTATTATAGAGTATTACTACACATACACACACAGGCACATTTATCTGGTGAATAATAATTTGTCTGGTGAAACTATTAGTGTTAGTTAAAAAACCGATGTTATGTGCCTTCTGTTAGCCGAAGCTAACTAGAGTAAGCTAACAGCAAATTGCCAATAGTCTATACGAACATGTATATGTTCTTAAACATGCAATTATAAATCTTTTGCTACACACAACATGTAAAGATTTGAAAGGACCCACTTCCATAGTGGCTACATATGCTCTGTTCTCTCACTCTCCAGAGAAACTAATTTGTAGGGGTAGGGTTCCTGTCTCTGCACTGCTGATTTTTTTTTTACCCTTCATCGTGGGCCGGTGAGGCTCTTTCTGTGCCATAATCCCTGGCGGTAGGTTTATGACTGTCTACCGTGGCCGTGTGTGGTCTAAGAGCCAATCATCTCCAGCCATCATGGCAGAGACACGCAGGGCTGGCCAGAGCAATGGGCCAGTGACCCTCCTATGCCCACTTAAGCCACTGTACAGTGTGTGTGCCCAAGACACATCTACATGTTTCAAAGCAGTGCAAGACATTTCTTGCACTGTTACAGAGGCCAAGAAATATAATAACATTGTAATAATAATAGATTACTACATTAGTAGTCCAAACTCTGTCAGTTCTGTAGGGAGTAAACATACATCATGATCTTACTTGATTTTTTCACGATTTATTTCAGCTTTATTTTAGCAACTGATAGAATACTTTTGATGCCACTGAAATAGTTTTGTTAAATATTAGCTGGTATATTTAACCTGCAACTAAGATAAGATGAGATACACTTTTTATATGTTGATATCACACAGTGCCGCAAATGGCGAAGTGGCACGCTCTCTGCCAAAGCAATTTCCAAATGGTAACTTTGCTTGTTACTTACGTGGCAATAAAAATGATTCTGATTCTGATAGATACTTTGTAATGACATTACTATTACACTTTTTGTTTTCATCAGCCTTGGTTCAAATGATACATGTTGGCTTTATTTGTGGAGGTGTGAAAGCCCCAAACAAGTGCAGCCTTGTCCATTAGTGACCTCAGTTAAATTGAACAATACGTGTGAATGCCTCCTTAGTCTTGACAAAATCTGTATATCAACTGTTCATACTGTGACATCTGAGAAGTGTTTTTTTCATAGGTGTCTGATTGAGACTGCCTAAGTGGGGGTGATGTACTGTGGCTACCAGTATTATGAGCAGCTGGAGGATGACCTCTACAGGGAGGAAGATGACGACTCTAAGAGCTCAGATGCTGACAGTGAACTTGAATTTCACTTGTATAGCCAACTTCACTATTCCTCTAATGCTGGAGACGTCAGTGAACTGGAAGATGAAAGGAAAGACATTGAAGAGGTCAGCATCCAAGATGATCATAACATAACGACAGATGCTGATAATCTGGGACATCAGACTGAAAACAACCTTACATCAGAGAATCAAGCAGTCCATGGGGAAAAAGAGAAAACATCCAAAAATAAGAAAAAAAGGGATACACTCAAAAGTCAGAGGGCATCTGCTGTGTTTGAGGAGGTGATCGTCATTGACTCCGGCTCGGATGCCATCATACTGTCTGAGGATGACAGTAGTGATAGTAGTGATAACACTGAAGGAGTTTGTGCGTTGAAGGGTCGAAGGTTATCAAAGCTTTGTACCTCCACACCTGCACATGAGGTGAGTTACATAAACAACTGCCAGATAATTTTATCCATAGACCCTCAATTTGACTGCTAATCACGGAAGGTTTCAGCTAGTCATTTCCATTGATTTGTCTCTCTCCTGTTATGTTTTTATATAATGTTGTTGAGCTATAGTATACACTTGGTAAAAAGTTTTTGTTTTTTTTGCGTCATTAAGCTGCATGTGATGTATACTATACAATTATAGTATTGATATGTTTGTTGGTGTATATATGGTTGTAAGCAGCTATTGGTTAAATTCATATTTTCATTATTTAATGTCACACAGGTAAAAAGAGTAATTGATGCAACCGGCACTGTAACTTTAAGCAGCTCTGAGTCTGACTCTGAGCCGGAGTTCCAGTGTGTGTCAGACTCAAGCAGCTTGTCAGACTCCGACGATATGGAGAACTGGATGATTCTGGGCCCTGGTGATCAGGAGGGAGACCAGTCCATCTCACTCAACCTGGATGGAGTCGCTGAAGGCGAGCCAGGTGTGTTTCTGACAAACATCACATTTACAACACATTGATGTGCACTGATCACAGATCTTCCAAAATGTTGATTGGTCAATTCCAATCACATTGCCTTGTTGATACAAATATTTTGTTATTCTCACGTGAAAGTAAAAATATTGTACCTTTTTTATTTTTCATCTAAATAAGATATTCCTTTATTCGTCCCACAGTGGAGTAATTTCAATGTCAATGTTGCGCACATTACAGCAGAGAAGAAAGAAGGAAATAAGAGCACTCGGATTGCACACATCAAAAAGGGTATATTATTTAAGATTGTAGATAATAACATTAAAATAATAAGTTGGATGGTAAAATAGAATAAAGTAAAATAAAACTCTGCTATCCTTGCTCTTCGTTCAGAGGTATTTACAGATGTTTATATTGTACTTTAGCAGCAGAGAATATGACAAGAATTATCAATAGTAACATTATCAGCAGGTAAAGGGACTAGTGGATGAATGAATATGCGTTTATATTTACCATCTCTTCAACTTTGTTACTATTTTAACTTTTTATAAGGCAGAAAAGTTGTCCCTGTGGGTGACCATGGAAAACATGGGGGTGGCTTAGCACGCTGCTCATTTAGGAGAAGAGAGAAACGTTGATGGTGATTGAATCGTGGCTGCATTGACATGTGATAGATATATTATTTTAAGATTAAGAGATCCTTCATTTTTCCCACAGTGGGAAAATTTACCACAGAAATGTGTACAAACAAACGCGGCTAATGTAAAAAAGTGAAGTTCCATTTGCAATTTATCAAATTAAACGTGAACAATCGATCGATGCACCTTTTACATAATGAAAAAGGTACTGTAGTCAATTGTGAGGCTTTATACTATGTGAAATAAAGCCACACGATTAACAAGAATGCATCAGATCTTCTTTGTTTCTTCTATATCTATAACCGTAAACAATTTCCTCCTAGAAGGGGGGTTGGCTACAGGAAGAATTTTCTCACACACTGCGGTCACATGCACAACCTAAAACCTAGTAAAGGTGGGCCTAGGCCCAGATTGCGACTATATCCATGCTTTAGGTGCCTGCGGCAACTGGGCTTGGGCACGATTGGAAGTGGTGGGCCTGAGCACGGTTGTAAAGCCCAGATGAGGGGGGTTCAATGTGGGGAGTGAGGAGCGGGGGATGAGGTGTGGTGGGGAGCTGATATTGTGCGTCACATTACGTCTTCCTGCTGCGTCCGCTGTAACGTGCACACACGTCCAGGGCTGGACTGGGACCAAAAACGGCCTGGGCATTTTTGCCTTCTTGACGGCCCAGGCGTGTTTTTTCCCCACGTTTTATTACAGTTTGTTTATACAGTTTGCGGAAGAAAATACTGTAGAGGATCAGGATGTCTGCAGTTTCAACAATAAAATAAAATGCAATAGTCTACATTACAAGAGAGGAATAAACATGTCTCAAAATGAGGGCGGTGGACACAGACAACACTGTTTGTTACAGGGATGAGAATTGGTCAAAAAAGTCTGAAATGCATAATGTCAGCCATTTACTGGCTCTAAATCTGTTTGATTTGTTCACAACATTTCACTTTTGGGCACAACCAACATGAACTTTTAATGCAATGGAAAATGTAGGTACCCGAGCTTCAATTTCAGGAGTTTAGTCGCGCTTCAAGAGGAGAGGGGAGACACGGACTGTTTCCTGCAGCGGTGTATTTATTGGGTGCACAGATTACACAAAGACACGCACACAACAAGCAGAGAATGGTCCTGTGCGCGTTTATTGTCTTGGGTACGTGGCCACGTTGCGGCTGTGCGCTGACAACATGGTGAGCGGCTGGACTCTGACAGCCGGTCACAGCCCCTGGACGCGGGAACCGCTCATTACAAATTGCCCCGGAACACTGCGGCCGCGGAGGTGGCAGAATCCCGTTCGAGTACATACAGCAGGTGCCCCACGGACATGCGCGCCCCCCCTCGAACAATTCTCAATGGATTTACACTTTTCACAAACATGCTTTTTGTGTGGCAGACAGGCCGCCCCAAATAGCCAGCTGGCCAGTCCAGCCCTGCACACGTCTCTACCTGTAGTCTCATACTTTCGCATTCTCCCTTGTGTGTGTTACACCTTTCAGGTGAGCCCCCGGACAAGTGGTCGAGGGGCGCAGGGGAGATTTGTTTCTCCAGGGCTGAAGGGATGCGTTTTCTACGAGGGATAACTCCCTGCTCTTCTGACCCTTCCTCACAGTGTGAGGCTATTGCAATAACACTTTGGATGCTCAAGAATCAGACTTTATTTTGTGGCCAAAACACACCAACATTCACTTGTATCCTGCCTGGCTCTGGTTGCTCAGCTCGTACACCACACTTTTCATTCTTTCATTCTCATTCATTAATTTCTCCGTTTACTCTTAAGGCACGCTCCGGTGTCTGCCGCGCGCCTGCACACACACACACATGCACACACACACACACACGTTACCCACTAAGCTGCTTTACATTGGAGAAAGACGCATCTCACACTTACATACATGTACATATTGAAAAGATATGAGCCACGCTCGAGCTGTTGACTACAGCAGCCAGAGTAGCCGAGTGTAAAGAGAAACGGAAACTTAACTCGGATCCCGAGGTAGTTGCCGAAGTTAGTATTAGTGCCACCAGCTGGACAGAGCGTTGTACTATAGAGATTTCTCGTGTGGCGTCACAAGGGCTAGAAGTCGCGAGGCCTCCGCCATATTGGAGGACAAGCAAACGCTGTACGGTAGTGGCGTGCACCCGGGACCGCATAAACATGTTCAAATTTTGTGCCGTTTTTAGCTGCAGCAAAAAGGGAGACAGGGACAATAAGTTGTTTTACCGACTGCCAGCTGTCCTTACTTCACATGGCACCAAAACAAGAAACAAGAGGGAAATGGCACAACAACAAAAAACTCACAGCCTCCAGAGCGTCCGAATATACTCGGATCATTTCATTTCTGCTGAGTAAAATTAATTTGGTGGCGGATTTAATGTTATTCCGAAACAAACAGAAGTTTAAGGATAATACTTATCACTGTCTGACTGCCACGTGGGATTGCTCTCTTACCGGATCTCACCAGCTCACAGGGTATCTGACTTGCCAAAAGCCAGTAGACGTGTGAACGACTGAGCCGTGCTCGAGGGTGCCCCGTACTAGTATTTATTAATAAAATATACGGCTCCTCACAGTAGACGCAGAAAGCTCCATTGATTTGAATGTAATTTCCTTATTTCCACGGAAGTGTAGCCACACATAGATCCATGGTGTAACAATAAACACATTTAAATGTTAATCGGAGAATACATTATACATATACATTCTTAATACACGTGCACAGAGGTTTTCAGAATTTTCTGTTCATGTTTTCATGGCAAAAATACTGTTTTAATGCAACCACGGAAAACCCGGAAGTAACTATTAACATTAATAATACATTTTAGGACGCATTTGCACAGGATCTGATTCATGGATTTAGGTTCAGTATATATTTGGGTCACGAACTGCTCATTTTTCGAATTCTTTGTTCAGTTTTCATGTAGTTCGAGAGAGTTCTAGTTTTGAACGTCCAGTTATAATTGGCTGGGATTGCTGTTACTCGCCGAGGTTGTCCTCCAGTATGGCCGCCGTGGCTACCAGTCACGTGACCGTAGGATCCCTCTATACCGCTTCTGGGCTGGCACGGTTGAAAAACCCTTGACTGCAGGCCTTCTTCACAGCCTTATGGCGACAGTTCAGGCCACTTCGGCCTAGTTTGTTTGTGAAACCCATGTGACCGTGCCCTCATTCATCCACATTTACACCTTTCAGGCAAACCGTACTGCTGCCTTTTTGTGTCCTTTTGTTTCTTGCTTCATTTGTTTCTGACATATACCCTTACGTAGAGCACCTTTCAGCAGTACTATTTTGTGAACCACTGAGCACTCCCAGCTTTAGTAGCTTCTAGGGGTGTCACGGTATGAAAATTTGACCTCACGGTTATTGTGACCAAAATTATCACGGTTTTCGGTATTATCGCGGTATTTTTTTTTTTTTTAAGTGTGTTGAATATGTTCAGAAAGCATTGATAGTCCTACACAAATGCAAATAGTTTAGAAAAAGTGTAACAGTGTTTATTATATTAAAAAATACAGACAAAGCCTCATCAAAAGTGCAACTTTTCACATCTAAGTAAAAGGGTTGAGCATGCAAATAGCTTATTTGTCAGGAACATTTACAATAGTGCAGGTTTGAATTTTACAAATCCAAACATTCAAGACATAAGGAACAATATGTAAACAAATCAAAGAAACACCACTTGTGTCTTATACTTGTTTTCTAAAACCGCACACTTGACTTTAGCACTGTACAAGTCAACCTTAAAATAAATAGCCACTTTAAACAAATTACAAAAATAACGTCTACCATCATAGGTAATCAAATCCAAATGTTCAAGTATAGATGGCATAAAAAAAATACTAATTGTATACTTCTCTCCATAACAGATAAGATGCTGCTGATCCAGCAACCAGCATCATGACTGTATGCATCTCCATTTACTTGAGATTGAAATGCAAAAATGTCAACATATTTACCTTGTCTGGTTTAAGTTGTGATCTAAGAGGGGAAACAATGTACCCGCTGGCACTGAATATTCTCTCTGATGGAACACTTGTTGCTGGGATACACAAAAGCTTTTTTGCCAGCCTGGCAAGATGAGGCAGCTCTGATGCATGGGCCCTCCACCACACCAGTGGGTCATTATCAGCTAGAATGGATGGCAGAGACATGTAGATCTTGACTTCCTCCTTCACTTTATCTTCTGGGGTGGCTGCCGAACCCTCTTCAGATCGCTGCTGCCTTGTTGAGTTAATCTTTATTAGTAACCCAGCTAGGCCTTTCCCTCCTGATGCTGCTGTGGAGGTACTGCTGGTGCTTTGTGGTTCCTGCCTGACTTGTACAGGTGTCAGCTTCAAGGCCTCCTGAACACAGCGGTCAACTACATCATCCACATGGTC